AGAAATTCTCTGTCTCGTTTAACGTTAATCCCGTTCCGGTTGAGCGTTTATCTCGAGCCGTTAAGAGCTTTCCCGACAGGCTTTGCGGCTATGGAAAACGACGAGATCGGTCTGCCATAGTTTTCTCCGATGTCCCTAATGAATCTAACATGGTAGGGGTCAGAGACGACCGCGGTCGAAGCCAGCGGACGGTTCTTGTCGCTTCTGATGATCCGTGACGCGACCAAACGCGCATCGTGCGGCGATTTCGCGAATAATCTGGAAATCGAAGGTAAACAGCTCGGAATTATCAGATTACTCGCGAACGAGTACGCTTTTCAGGTAATAGAATGTTATCGAGAATTTTTTCGAAAGTTCGATACGAATTCGTTTATATTAACGATTAACCGTAATTGTACGGGAATAAACGAATTCGAAGTATCCTGCGGTGGAATAGAAGTGAAACAGTTTTGGTCGTGCGGTTGCAGAGTTAACAACGGTTAGGGGTTGAAGGACAATCCAGTCCCCGTAATCCCAGGATAATTATTCGACCGGCAGCGTGTCTCGTTTCAACGAGAACACAAACGAATCGTCGAAAAAACTGGACAGAAACGGTCGGAGAATTAGGAAAACGTTCTCTCGGAAGCAGGAAGCCAGACGTAGGTCTCGCGTCAAAGACACGTTGGCCAACGTTGCCAACTGAACCACGAAAATTACCAACTTTCATTACTCGTTGCACGGGACCAGGCGCATACAAGCGCGCCTTCTTTCACGCGAACGTTTCACCGGGAGCGGTCAGCTCTCCGCGAGCGGAGATGAAAGAAGCGCATTTAAACGCGTTTAGCTGTCAGCTCGATTCTTCCTCGTTTTTCCTTTCAACCGTGCTTGCCAGCCGTCTAATTAATTAAATGTAAACCCAGCTCGCCAGCTTTCTCTGCGTTTGCCCGCCCACCCCTGTCTGCGATCTCTTTTTACCTCCGTCCTGCCTCTGCTGTCGTAGCGAGCTTCTCTCCTCGTCGACCGTGCTCGTCTTCGTTCGGGACTCGAGACGACGCTTCGGTGATTCTCCGCTCGCTTATTTGCGTTTACCTAACAGTCGCGTCTTCGACGACCAGACGGGGACGGTTAATTGGCCGCTGCCATACTTCCTTCCTCTTCTACCCTTACCACGGACGACAATCTCGCACGATCGATCGTGCGATTACTCGATACGAGTCTCTTTGCTTCGCGATAAATCCGGAAATCTACGGATTCACGGATCAGAGAATGTCTTGCGATCGGTAGAACGCGCAGCGCCTTTAGCTGTATCGAAAGGTGGTTCGAAAGAACGCTTCGAAATTCGACCGCATCTCCGTTCACCGCATTATCGGGACAACCTGGCCAAACGCGAGAGGGCAATTACTTAGCCTGGCGTACATCCAACCTTTATCCCTGGCTCGTAAAACGCGAGCATCGCTGCCAGCCCTTAATCCCATAAAGGGGTGAATCGCGAGCGATAACCGGACAACCCTTTCCGAGTGTCCCGGGGATACGTTATGAGCCAGCCAGGACCACCTACGCGAAATCATCCTCTCGTTATCGTAAACGTAACTCGCGTGGACGACTCGCGAGCTTTTGGAATATGGCCAAAGCGAGCTTTGCCCCGTGAACGAAGACGATGGTGCGGTAGTGGAAATCCAAGGCGAGATCTTCGAGCTTTCGTCGAACGCGCGAGGGTTGGCAAACGGAGAAGTTGCTTCCTAACCTCCCTTTCTCTCTCTGCGTTCTCTTTTCCTTTTTCGCGGAGTTAAATTCGAAACGACGGATCGTCGAGAGCAGGGAGAAATCCTCGTGTATCTTTTTTTCATACGGTTTAGGGAATCGATAGGAAGCATGTGGCTCAGTCCGAGCACAGTATATAGAAATCGAAAATAAACGTTGACACTAATAAACGTAATAGGCTTAATAGACGTCCGTGAATTTTCGGGTCAGTAAACTCGAAAAAATTGATAAAATAAATGCTTCCAAGTTTTTATTACGCATAGTACGAACGATCGTACTTTTACCTCGAATTTTAACTTGAACGTTAAATTTAAAGGTAAAAGAATAGATCCTTCTACGGTATCAAGAATGTTTCGCTTCCATGTTCGAAGTCGCTCGAATTTCCGGTCACATCGTCGACCCGAACGACTTTTCTCGCTGCAATCTCTGCCGTTAAAACGTAACTCCTCGCTTTGAATACGCCGTAAAACCATCCCTGATCACGAACGCGATCTTCGACGTCTTCTCGTTCGATTTCTTCCCTCGGTAATCGTTGACCTTAATTGACCTATTCCACGAGTTGATCGCAAACTACCATCGACCCGCCTCGTCGAGCTTCGCTGGTTTTTTTCTTTCTTAAATTGTGACCTTCGTCGAAGCACGACGAGTCCTGGAGGGTAGTAATTGAATGCTTAATATCGCGTTCGCAAAGTTTATGGTTCGTGATAGCAGGGTGGGATTTTGCCAACGCGGAGGATAATGGAGTTATAAATTGACTGCTTAATTTTTTAGGCGCTTCAGCCGAGAACTTTGAAATTTATTTATAAACGTTGTTAAAAGCTTCGTTTAGTATGGATACAAGTTCGTTCTCGACTGCTTACTCTTCGTTAGTCGAGTCATTTAATCTTTCGTTCTTGGCTGTTCTTAGCGCGAGGAAATTTCTACCGCTTCCTGTCTTATTTAGCGCGAACCACCGACCCGTTGGTCGATGGATACGAATTTTCCTCCTCGTACTACCGATCGTTCCTATTGCTACCGTTTCTCGTCGCTTCTTCTCTGGTCGACAAGATAATCGTAGTTCGAAGATAAAGTTACCGGATGCTCGAATAAAAAGTTTATCGCGCTATCGAGGAGACCTTTTATCGAAAGGTGATACCGATCGTGCAATCTACGCGAACTACAAGAAAGTTTTGTTTAATCTAATCTCGTTGATACGAGAGTTCGATAAAGTTCCGACTAGTTAAATCTGTGCTTGCTAGATTACGGCTAGATTTCTCGTTCGCTGCCCGTACACCGATTAATCGAATAACTAACCAGCAATGGACAACTGCGCTGGCCGATTTTACAACGATAAAGAAAGAAGAAAGGTAAAGTTTGAATTCGTTTAAAACTCGAAGCAAGCTCGATGTAAAAGAAAGAGGGCAAAAGGATGGCTCCCCTTCTCTCCGCTCGCGCATCTTTTAATGAATTCTTATTCGATCCCGGAATTAAAGAGGTCGCGAATGGATGCGGAGTGGCGCGAGGGTACGCAGCATGGGGATGAAAATCCGAGGGGCGGCGAACATCATGAAAAATCCTCCCTTGCGAGCTTAAAGCCATGGCTACGACGTGGGGGGTGTAGAGGCTCGGTGAAGCGAGCCTGAGAGAATGCCGCGTATCAGAAGTTACGTTTATCAGGTGAAACGCGTCGTTTTCGAGGCTGTATAGTTCACCCTTGTACAAGTTCGTTCGGTTCGCCACCCTCGGCGTCTCTGTTTTTCTCCTGCACCCTTCTTTACGATTATTCCTGCCGATCGATCGCGATACCACCGTAAAGCCACCTCTTAGGTTTCAGCATGGATTAACTTTCGGAAACGGAAGCCTTCCTCGAAGGAACGTCGGTCACGCGAGAAGGGCTTGTAACGATCGTTGGATGTGGATAAAGGACATCCATCGGCATCGATCGGTGCCGGTAACTGATATAAATGCTTTATTCGGAAATTGCCGTAAATCGTGAACCGACGGAAAAAACGGAAAAAACGGAAAAAACGGAAAAAGCCACTCATTCGCCTTATGGAAATTTCGGCCGCGTTATTATGTATTTCGATCGATCGGAACGGTTGCCAATCTCTTTGCTCGTTCGCGGTGCTTCTCCTTCGAGGGGAGATCAAAGACGCCGTTTTCTCTCTAATTACGGAAAATTTCGTCGTCGGAGATATTTAGTTAGACGAGACGTTTCCCTCGAGATATACGCGAAATCTTGAAACAGGAACAGGAAAGGGAACCTATTTAGTCGAAGGAAGATCGGAGATGATGTTTCGACGAAGCTTATAATTCAGTCAGCTAGGTGCTCAATTTCATGCATTTTGTCTTCTTATAATATACGCTTCTAATTTACTAAAAGTTTTATGCAACTTTACTCCGACTTTTACCCATCTAGTCGCGATTACGATGGAAACTTGTAAGCGATTTGTGAGAATTTCAGCAATCGATATGGCGCGTATCTTTACGTACATATGTCGTCGCGTTACGCGAAACGTTCGAATATATAGCACCGCTTAAATATATTTTTTCGTAGAAAAATGGCAGCAGTCGTAATAAGAAGGTTGAAATTGATCGTTCCAACCCTCTTGTTCGTTCCACGAAGATCCCTTATTACTTGAACAGCGATCTAGTAATTGGCTCGGTTCGTAGGTTGGTCTCGTAACGTCTCGTTCTTCTCCGTCTAGGCGGTCCGTCTAGGCGGTCCGTCTAGGCGCGGATAAATATTTTCGTATATTTCGAGCTATTCCGTTTCTATGGAAGATCGCGAAATTCGATGGACACTTATGGAAATCGACGGACACGATGCTCCTTCGAACATCGTCGATTGTATCGTTAATACATAGGTTTCTCGAGCTAACGTGCTGTCGAGCCCTCGTATTAAGTAGCAACGAGGTTTTTTGCGAGTCTGCCTTTACACGGAGGCTTTTCCATTCGAGATCAAAGCGGAATACACAGGCTCCCTTTGCGTTCCACGTTCCCATTTCTGGCCTGGCCTTTGCCCGTGAAAGCGAGCTAACCGCCGAAAAGTCATCCACCGCGCGCGCGTCTAGCCGGTTAAATAATCGAACCTGCCAGCCACCGGTTTCGAGGGCTCGCTATGAAAGGGTTGAAACGTTATACTTTATGGGCCACAATTTTATCCCCTGTTAGAAAACGGGCATAGGGAACGACGTCGGAATTTTCACTCCTGTGACGTTTTGAACTCGAATCCTCTTCGAGCAAAATCCGGAGAAAAAATACGGCTCTCTTTTAATCGTGAATGCAAATTTTATAAACAAACAGAATATACATGTTACGCTAAAGACGTTTTAGCAACATCTTGGAAAAAACGATAAAGGGTAACAGGGAGGTGTTGAGCATTTTCTCTCCGCCAGACGAGATACGTCCGAGGACAACCGGTGTTTCCATGTGTTCCTCTATCCAGTTCTGGAAAAAATGAACGTCCGAATAGACACCTGGCACTCTAGGCCGCGCGCAGCCGTCTCCGCCTGAAACGACACCGGCCAGGATGCCGTTGCAGAGCATACCGCCTCCAGAATCGCCCTGGAAATCGTAAAAGATCTAAAAAATCACGGAATCTCTTCGACCGGTCGATCGGCAAACCTTTCGATCGACTATCGCCTTATCGTCGTTGAAACGAGAAGTTTAAGTCAACCTACCCCGCAAGCATCCTTTTGCCCTTCCAGATAGCCGGCGCACATCATTCCCGGAAACACGTCCGTCACGTACGACAACAATTTCTTGCAGATACCGAGGTTTATTATTGGCAGATCCACGTACATGAGACGATTACTCACCGTCTGGTCATCCTGAGCAAATATCGTTTCAAATATTAGACTGCGTTATTTCGGTATACTTTAGTACGATGATTTAGGAAATGACTGGGCTCGTAGAACGGTCGGTTGCGCACACGTCGACTAAATATTCGACTTACTTCCGATGGGTAACCCCAGCCGGCCACTTGACAAACCGTGTTCGGTTCGGGTGTACCGCTCGTTAGAGGTACGACGTTAACCTCGGGTGTTAGCTTGAAAGGAACCTTCAGCTATAAAATAAAAACGCGTAAATCGAAGAGAACGGTGATGCGAGGAAGTTGGAAACGAGAGTAGAACCAAATAAAAATCTCACGGTGAGCAAAGCGACGTCGTTCTGCAAAGTATCTTTATCGAATTCAGAATGAACGTCGATTTTTTCCACTCCCCTCCGCTGTCCGGTCGAACTTTGTTCGTTGAGCAACAATTGTCCAGCGACGACCATGATCGTCCACGGTTGTATCATGGAACCGGAGCTGCGCAACGAACAATACAACTAGCTTTACTTTCTACTTTTTACTTCGGCTAATACTCTTTGAAAAGTTTGAAAAGCACTCACAGAAACATGCAGTGTGCCGCGGTAAGAACATGATACTCGCTTATCAACGAGCCACCACAAAAGTGTGCGGCGTTGTAGCTGCGTCTCAACGACACCTACAATCGTTTCCCAGAAAATAATTGACGTTTTCACTCGTTTTATCGATAAGTTTCGTAAATACGTACCTGATAAGGAAACTGTCTGAGTGCCGCCTTGGTACCATTCACTATCCGTCCGGTTAAACCGTAACTCACCCACTCCGCATCCTGATAAGGGATCGCCGTACTGCTCTCCGTTTCGCCTGGCATACAATAAACGTCACGATAAAACCGTTGATTTAATATTTCGTCGAGCGAAGATCGGTTACTACAAAAGTCGTTACGTTGTCAATGGAGGCTGTACGAACGCAAGATTTTTACGATCGGCGCTATGGTGGTGTATAAGACCAATAATTGTCCGATGAACGAAGGAATCGCGGAAGAATGTCGTTGAACGAATTGTTGCGGTATCGTGTTTCGAGGGCGCGTCTATGATACGTATGTTCTTGAAAAAAGCTCGACTTACCTTGAACCGCAGCGCCGAAGAGCAGCACTGTCACGAGCACTAGAGAAATCATGCTACCGACTGGATACGATAATGGACAATCGAACAATTTATCCGACTGCTTATCGATTAGATAACGCAGCTACGAATGCGAGGCGCGTGTCGCCGCGGTCATGGATTACGGAATCGGCCAGCAACCGATAAATCATCGATCGATATAGATCCGATAACGATCGCCGATTATTTTGTTTTCTCGATTACCGTTTAAAGAAGGGATCCGTAACCCGGTTAGTGTTAAAGTAACGCGTACGTCGACACGTTGGTACCAGTGACCGACATTACGAATCGAACGAAACGATCGGTGAAATAATCGAGAAACGAGAACGACCCGACAAATCTGGATGCATGTTTTTATTTTAATTCCAGCTGATTATTTTCGGATAACTGCCCTCCTACCGTTACCCTGAATCTTCGTTGACTCTTCGATATCCGTTATTATCCGGTTTGCAGGCAAAAATTTTCCATCGATCGTTTAATAATTCGTGCTTCGCGCATCACCTTTCGAGGGCGATATCTGTCGAAAAGGCGCGTATTAGATCGTTTATGGCCGAGCAAACGCGATTTAACGTCAGCGTGGAACGCGATCGATCGATCTTGGTGTTGCTTTGAAACCGGTATCTGGTTGTTGTCGTCGTCGCTAAAAGACGAATTAATCGTCGGATGGCAGCGAGGATAAATATTCATAAAAGCTCTTCTGTTCGGTAACGAGTAACGTGGACGAACAGCTACCGTTACCTGGCAAAATCGTGCTTCGAATCGGTGATTATCGTTTCGTTCGATTTCCTGCGAAAACGCAGCTCGACGTCGATGAATCGAATTAACGAGAGCCAAGGATTACCGGTGATTACTTATTATTTATTAAAAGATACTCGACTGGTTTATTCGCCGTTTTAAGTATGTTACAGCTGTCTTCTCGAACTTGATCGAACAATCGATTTTTCGCGTTAAATTATTTTTGTAGATACGTTCGATAACCGTGATCACGATCGTAATCGTTTCTCAAAGAAATTTAATTAGTCGATCGACGTACTCGCCTACTCGCGCGGGTCTCGTTGACGAAAAGAACGTTAAAAACGATTAATTAGCATCGACTTGGATAGGTGGAGAAGCTGGAGCGTACCACTGGACAACGAACTGCCCGTAGGGCTCTCGACCGGTCTGTTAGCCACACGGAGATTGTACACAGGGGTTGTTGTACGGGGTTTGTACGCGGAGCTGCTCGAACACGGGGATGGGTAATGGTGGCTCCTATCAGCTCTGTACACTCTCCTGCTCTCTGGCAGGCCCTCGAAAAGCCCGTCACTAGCAACGATATTCCGTTGAGTTACGCCGATGGTAGGTGAAACACGCGCCCACCGACCACTTTGCATATTGGATGCCCGTTCGACTACCTATTTAACGGCGTCTTCTTCGACGGACAAGCCTCGTTGCTACCCTATTCGAATCTGACTACTACCGATCCTTCAAAGGGTGTCGATACGCTTTCGCTTTCCCTTCTTTATTCCGAACGTTCGATTTCTTCGCGTCCATGCTGCAGCGGCCGTATTTCCTTTTACCTAAGCCCGTTTTACATCGGTAGCGTAGAGAAATTCGAAAGTTGAACGTTTCGGAATGTCGAAATAATGTCGCGACTGTTCGCGCACGGGCAACCTAACCTAACCGGTCGAGACGAGAAGAACGTACAGGAAGCGAAGGAGAATTAAAAAGTACACGGTGCCGAAAGAGTCGCGCGTAAACGTACTCGATCGTCTTCCTCTTTTCTTCGTCTTCCTTTCGCCGTGGCTCCTTCGGCAGCGTTTCTCTCTCCGTCTCTCCTGCACTCCTCCGGATCGGAGACGAGCTACCTCCACTCGACTTCTCGTAGCCGGATCAAGGAATCATTCTCGATGGAACCGAGGATAATGTTTATGGGATGTAATGATAAGGAATGTTGGCTGGGGGCGTTGGCTAAGCTCGACCTTAACCACCTCGTGGTTCGCGAGGCTGTATCTCTCTGTTGTTATTTAGTTACGACCGGTAAAGGGACATCTTTCTTTCGACGCACACCAATACGCGAGCTTATACGTGAACGATACCGAGCCTAGTCATCGATTTGCTGGGACAACGCGGAAATCGTTCGTGACCGAATCGTAACTTCGTTTATTTAGTACTTTCTTTTTGGCGAGGAACGATGATCGCGTCGTTGTTCGATACGAGAGAACGTTGATGACGATAATACTGCTGGATATCTTGGAACCATCTTGGAACCATCCTGGAACCATCTTGGACGCTTCCACGTTGTTTTATATGACAGGTCTTTTCTTGATCTTTGACCCCGTGACAGGAGCCGCTTATCACGATGCTACCGACGCTTTTACGGCTGGACCGACTACTCCTTCTGTTGCTTATATTTCTTACGATCTATTCGGTAAACTGGATTCGCTACAAGTTGCACGAATACAAGCTAACGAGTTGGAAACTGTTTTTTTTTAAATTGAATCAAGCGAAAGTAGCGATCTAATATTATCCGCTTTAACCGCACAGGAAAAGAGAACAGAGATCGATGATTGTCGAATTGAAAAAAGTATCCTCGAAGCGAATAAAGAGGAGAAGGAGATGAACGTTATTACTAAACTGGTAATACGTGGCATCGAATTTGATAAGAATACGTGTTAAGCAAATACGCATGGATCGTGCCGCGAAGCGTAATAGCATGTACATACAAGTATACAATACGTAGAGAGAGAATTGAGATTTCAAAAGAAATACAGCTATCGGTTCGTAGAGAGTTGAAAGATGCAGTATTTATTTTGATTTACGAATATGTATATGTATGTATATTCCAGTTGGTTAGCAGACCGACTACGTCCTTGACAAAGTGGCTAACTCACGACCCTATTCATCCGGTGCCTTCTCCCGCGGGCTTCGCAGCAGCGTGAAAAGAGGAAGAGCGTAACCTTGACTGCAGCGCAACCAGTTAAAGGGCCGTTCAAGGTCTACCAGACGGTTCCCAGTCTATCGTCTGGCCGGCTACTTGGTCGGTTCGCTTGGTCTAGCTTGGTTTGGCTTAGTTTGGCTCGGCTCGGCTCGGCTCGGTTGGTCGTTACGCTTCGCCAAGTGGACGACGGACGGAAACAGCCAGAACGGAACCTTTTCCGTTCACGTGCAAATACGTTGCCTCTGGCCTGTTTTACCTCGAGAACTGGAATAACAAGCGGTGTATTTCTTTTTCCATTCGGTTCGCTGTTCCCACTGACGATAGGGCCGGAGAGAGGGAGAGAGAGTTAATTATCGGAACCTTTGGGAAATCGATTTCCGACCGACTGCCGGTGGAAAATGTCTCGTAGTGTTCGAAAAAGAACGGAAAACCTCCGGAGATTCCGGAACAATCGAGATTCCTTGAGATGCGGAAATTGTCCGTTTTCGATAGAAACGAAAAATAAATGCGAAATTCGAAGCTTTTCCCGTCTCGCAATATTCGAGACTCTCGGTTCGATTCCGACTATGGTAACTAAGAGTGTCGTCTTCTAATGAAAATTTTTATGCCGATGAAACGTCGGCATAAAAATATCTATTTTTTTACATCCAAACAATTGGTTACAGTTCGACGAGTTCTTCTCGACGGAGTCGCAGAATATTTTATGGGATTTTCCAGGCTTTCATCGAAGCAGGACTAGGCTGTCGCCATTCCACGAGACTACCCCTGCAGCTTCACCCTTCGATGGAAGTGCTCGTGACGGGTGCCAGTATGTGGCAATCGAAGTGCTTTCCTCGCCGACGAAATTGGGTTGCGCCTTTTTCCATTTTCCCCGCTGATGGCTGCCGTTAGCACGCGATTCTCTCTCCTCTTGTCGTGCCATCAAATCGAAATTCCTCGCAACGATTCTATCACGATAATTCCGCTAACGAACCTAACGATCTTATTTTTTCAAAATACGATCTCTTTTTTTTGCTGAAAAACAATTATTCGTGTACGATTAATAACTTTCCGATAAACATCGCTTAGCCGCGAAGACGGTGGTTAATTCGTAGGAGAGAGGTACCGTGCTCGAAATAAGAGCTTCCCTTCTGCGTTATTAATCAGCCGATTTATTTGCATACCGTGTGCGCTTGGATTCGTTGGTCAATAGGTTGTTACCTGAAACCAGGCGACCGATTCGAGGACGAGAGGAAACATTGCTCGATGCGAACGACGCGAGATCGCATCTCGTATCTGGTGAATTAATCACAGTCATCTTGCGAGACTCGTGTGTCCGATAATTTTCAACCGGTGAACTGATCGGTGCTTCGGAGGCCAGCAGAGTTCGTTTCAATTACAAATAGAAATTGGCTGGCTCGTAACCTACACCGAGTAAAAGAGTCTGCGCGAGAAGATAACTTATTACGCGATCATTCGTTAACTTCGTCGTTGAGTATTGTCGCGTTCTAAAATTCGTTACGTTAGTGTACGTTAGTGGTGCGAGAATGATAACGATCAGGCGCGATCGATTAGCGAACAATTGGCTCGGCTAGTCGAAGAGATAAAGCGTACGCGATCGTACGAATCGCTGATCGAATCCATTGTTCGCGTCACGTTCACGGCATTCGGGCATCGGCGATGCGCATTAAAGAAGATTACCCGGTCGGATCGTTTTCTGGACGTGAACGCTGGCCGAAGGAAAAAAATTGCGCGCTTACGATCGCGAGGCACGTTACCTACGCGTCTCGAGGAGGCCGTAATAAAAGCGATCGTATCTGGACGGGCCGTTACTCGGTCCTCGTAAAAAAACCTCCTGACCGATCCAAGATCTTGGCTTTCCGTCTCTTTTTTTTTATTTTTTTTCCCGACAACTTTGTGCCTCGGTACGCACCAAATGCGTCCTCGGAATCTCCGGTTCGCGCTATTCGACGCGTCGAATGTCCAGTGTGCAGAATGGAACCGATCATAACTTGTCAACTGTATTCGACACCGATTCGACGACGATGGTCAGACTCGAGTACGGCGAAGATTTCTACGTTATTTAACAGACGCTGTGCCAACCGGCCGAACACCTTGCCTTAACGTTGTTTAAAGGATTTCATCCTCGTTTCCAACCACTTTGGAATCGACTCTTCGTAAAGTCGTCTATCCTTTGCGAAGATTCGCGCGACGAAGAGGCACGGAACTGCCAATAACTTACAATCACTCGGCGCTTCGTCGCCGTTCTGTAAACTATGCGAGCGTCCGTGGAGCCTCCATAATTCACAATCAACCTCCATTAGCTTTTCGTGGTCGCGAGGGAAACTCTTTATTTACGAGCTAGGCAAACGACGCGCCTGGTACCTCATAGAAAAACGCTGAAACGACTCGATTGTAAAGAAGAGAGTCCCGGAATAACACCAGCTGAAAAAATGATCGGATATTTGAATGAAAGAATCCAAAGTTGAACTACTTCGACTCGGTATAAAAAATCTGTTAATGTCGAGAATTGGCTGCACCGATAACGGAATAATAGAAATAATAGGAATAATGGGAATAACAGGAAGTTTATTTGGAAAATGTGCGTTAACGCGCGATCGAAAGAAAGAAACTGTCGGAATGATCGGGCGAAACGAAATCGCGAAAGCAAAGGCAAAAGCGTGCGAGCAGCGACTGTACCAGGAGCCGGCAAAAAGATCGTGGTCGTGTTCGAAGCCGGTTGTTTTGTCTGTGGGAGGTTAACCTGGCCCGTCTAGTTCTGCAACTCGTGCTGCAAGAAATGCTCGAAGCCGAAGCAGCTTGGGATCGAGGTCACGGGCTCTTGGTTACGTAACACGAACACCAGGAGTAAGCTGGCTGGCTCCCGCGAGCCGATACGATGACGCACGGCTACGATTGGATCCTGTGGTTTCTGCATCGCTTGCCTCTTTTTATTCTCGAAACGTGTTCTTTCGCAGGCGCCTCCAAGCTGGACAGAAAATTCGATGGAGCCGCAGCGAGGCTCGTTTCGAAACCTCGAGATCGAGTACCAAACGAAACGATCTGTTCTATGGCTTATTTCTAGAACAATATACGTAATTGACATCGCGATGAATTTAATTTAATCAATAGTTTACTCCGACTAGTTTCAACGATGTTATTTACTTAGAGTTCGGAACAAACGTATCGAGGTGACTGCGAAAGCAAAGAAGAAACACGGCCGAGCGCATTCGTCTTCGTACGAGAGGCACGCACAGGTGCGTGGTCCGCTGACGGGAACAAAATGGCAGGTGTCTACTTGACGACGGACAGTTATCGATTTAACAACGTGACGCGTTAAACGCGTGAATAATTATGAAAAAGATAGTGATCGATAGCGGAGAATCGTGTGATAAATGCTCTATGCTACGGATAACTCAATCGGTTCGGACAGTTTGATCCGACGCGACGGGCGGAAAGCTTCAGGGTCAGGTTCAAGAGTCACGGTACGAGATACAGTAGGTAAATACGAGGGTCGTTTCGAATCAATTTCCTAACGCGTCGCGTATTCGCGACGATACGACGACGGATACGTAAATCGCTAAAAATTGATAGGCAGTTTTGTAACAGTATCTCGTTTCGTGGAAATCTTATCGATTACGACGTTCGTTTATTACTAGCAAGCAATCGTCGTATTCTCGAGGCGAGGTCTCGAAGGATCAGGGACGACGATACGCCCTTCTCTCGCGTAGGCTGAAGCGGAAGCGCCGCGCCGAAAGGCTGCTCGACTTTTCTTGCCATTAGGCGGTGCAGGAAGTTTTTCGGAGTTTGGCCGAGACCATTTCCTCGAAGAAGGGAGGCATTTTCTCCGGGCCCTGGAGAATTTCTGCGGTCGAGCGCTTTCAACGCGTATATTTCGAATCCGGTGTTAATAAATTACGGGCAGGGTTAGAAAATACGTTATCGCGTATCAGAGAATAGATAGAAAAGTCAAAGCTCCTTCGAAATTTCTGTCGTAGCGGCGATTCGCGAACAACCCCTTTAGCGTTATACCGTTCGCGTGATCGTTGGCCGCACGGACATTTAAGTCGTCCTTTGTTTCGCGCGAACAATCGTTTCGCGTGACACGGCACTATTCTGATTTTGAAGGAACTCGTTTCCTGTAGAACGCGCGAACCAACCTTCCGACGAAAATTTACACCTCGACGAATACATCGAATCGATTCCAACAGCGTGACGATCCATGACGTAACCGTCTACCGATACGAATCGAGCAAGGAAAAAAAATTGATCGTGGGCAGACAGCGATGGCGAAACGTGCGAGTACACGCGAATGCACGGGTGAAAGTGTCGAGCGTGGCAGGTGTAGTCAAAATCGTGCGTAGTTCGATGGACGAAGAGGAGAAAGTTCGTTCGAGGGGTGAACGAACCAACACGGTTTTTCGAGGTTTTCGGTCCTGCGATTATGCACGCAACGAGCAGCGTGCAATAAAGCGGCGTGCTTCCTGCCGCCTCTTCGCGCTCCATTCCCCTTTGCGCGTTTTTTCCTTTTCGGTTTTCGCGCCAACCGAAAGAATCAGACTGTGACGGACGAGCAGAGCATCGTCCGGTTGCGAGCGTCAACTGCGCGAAACGATCAAACTAACGCCGTGAATTAACAGGTTCGATGAAAATACCACTAATCGCCGAGCGTTTCAACGAGAACGAGATAGGCAATGGATCGATTAGATAAGTTAAATTCGATGGTTCGTACGGAATTATTTAATATTTTTTCAACTTACTACCGGTACAAATAACTTGTCACCTCTTAAACGTAGTCCGACTGTTAGCCACGCCCGCCATGCCATGTCAATGACCGACGCTTTCGATGTAACGTGGTAACACCGTTAGACCAGCGAGAGAAGACATCGATTAACGTTCGATCAACGTTGCATCTATATTTGGATCTTTGAAACATTTTCGAAAGACGATCAAACTCATAAATACACATTGATCGGTAGCTTTCATCGCATCTATTTCGCGCGTAGATAACGCGACAATGGACATGCCGATATACGTGTTTTTAATTCTTCCATTGTACGCCAACCGCGTTCGTGGTATTTAAAAGCAGCGGCACTAAGCGCGCGCGTGTGCGTCGAAGAGATGACAGGTGTTCTTTTTGTTATGCGGTAATAATGTAGCAAGTTTAATAATCGTAAACATATCGCAGGAATAATTTCCTAATAAAGCATCCGCGAGTCGGGTTAGAAATGCCGCATGTTTTCGTAAGAGAGACTTACGAACGACTGACACGCGGCACAGTTGTTTCGGTTTTTCGCAACTTTTCTGGATGCAGCTGCATCCGACCGTACGCGTTCGCATAAGGCATATAGTATAGGTAGAGGGTATAGGGGAACAAACGTGCGGTTTAGCTACAATGTTAAACCGCGGCCGCGTGGAATTGTTGAGGACTGCAGGTGCGGCCACAATGCAGGCCGGTTGCGTTTACAGGCCGTGAGCGTAGCACATGCCATTAACGTCCAGACCGCATCCATACTGATCCCTTTCCCCTAACAACGATGCAGCCAGCCCTGCACAATATCACGAAATAGCGGATGCTTCCATAATGCAACGGCCGAAGGGGCCGTTTATCAGAGACACCGTTGCTTCTACCGGTCTGCTTTTACTGTTAGATCGACCAAGATTAACCCGACGTCGACGTCGAGTTCGAAAGGTAACTGTCGGGTTTGCGCGTGTTTCTTAATTTTCCTTTAGAAATTCGATTCGTATGTACGAAATATTCTTCTACGTTTACTCTCTGCCGGTTCTCGAAATATTCGAAGAGAACGCGTTTTATTTACACCGTATAAACTCGGAGAGACAAGCGGAAGTAATGGAAAAATATCTGAAACCGTTTTCTTCCGGAGATTATATCCATCGAGGAATTCCATCGACAAACCCGATAGAACGAGGCAGCGGTATCGGAATCGCATCTATAAAAGTTCAAAGATCGGTCGCGTCCAAGTTCTCGAAGGAAAACTCGCTCCATTCGTTTCAATCCGCTTAAAGCGTTCGGGCCGAAACAAATCTCTGGCAATTCTGGCCAACTCTGTAACGGTCCATTTTCCGATAGCCGATAAGAAACAGGTGCGGACTAGGGTAGAGACGAGCGTAGTACGAAGCGGGCCGGAGCGGAGCAAAGCGGAGCCGAAGAGATTCGTCTTAATTCCCGTGGAGAGTCGATTCTCGTTCGAGCTCAGCCGACAATGGGATTACCCTCGGAAAAGCTTCGGCGAATTTATCGGCGAAGACTTCGTTAACGGGACGCTGCAAATGAAAACTTATGCCAACGGCCGGAATTCAGCGGCGAATATTACGCCGGGGTTACGATGATCGGACCTCTCTACCCGTTTAAATTGCTTTTCGTCCTGATTTATCGGCTAGACGGCATGCCGACCGCTCTAAATCAATTTTACGTCTCGTCTCGCGAGTTCAGCCTAACGATGTCTTACGTTCCGTTTAGAGTTTAGAGTATCGCGGCAAAAGGGCAGGGCACGAACTATGGCTTGTTTGTCTTTTCCGAACGTTAGTACAACGTTCTTATCTTTCCATCTCGAAGTCGCCGACTTCCGCTCCCTGCGCGAAACGTTTCGGTGAAACGATCGATAGGGATCGTAATCGTGACCCGGTAAAAAGCATGGAACCACGGGGGAAAAAATTGCTATCGAATTACTCGTGAATTTCCATCGTCGAGTCCTCGGGGATAGGAGATTCCGTATCCGCGGAATCCTCGCAAGCGTTTCCCCCGAAATAATATATCCCTCGGACCAAAGTCCCCGGGGTAAATATAATTTCGCTCAGCCAGCCTGTTTTCTCCGCGTTTCCCCTTTCCGTACAAAGTTTTCTGATTTACCGGCCCTATTTCTCCTCGATGGGGCTCATGTTTCGCGAATTACGGCGATCACGATGACATTGTGGCGGCGAAGGGCTTTCAGCCAACTTCTTTCCTCGCCATCGACTCCGATCCATGAATTTCTATTTAACGCGATCACGAGAAATCTCTCTCTCTCTCTCTCGACTTCACATTCAACTCCACATTGTTTAACGATACAATTTTAGACGACTTATTGTCTCCCAAACGATACAATATCGATTTTAAGCGTTTGGTCGTTGGCCCTGCTAAAGGATTTATACACGAGATCTCTTCAGAAGTTGAACATGTTTACGTAATTTGACGAACGAGTCAAATTTTCACGAATTTAACCACGAAATCGTAGGAGAAAAGGATTAATTACGGTTCCTGTTAATCGTTGCGATAAACCTCAGGTTCTATAGCGATTCGATGAAACGTTTCTTCGACACCAGGAGAACGGAAACGTAACGCGAAGGGAAATTAGTTACCGCGAACAGAACGCGAGCATCTCCCGTGTCGAAACCGCTCGACACGAACCAATAAAAGCATGTAACGTAATCCTGTTTGGCGAACTGCTTGTAACATCCAGTAACATTATACTCCGAAACTCTCTTTTCCGTGACCTTCTTCGCCGCTACGGCATATACTACATCGATTCTCTACCCAGACACAATTATATTATCCTTCGCGCTTGCGATATCGTGTTCTTGTCAGAGGTCGAATCGGAACAATTAAGCGATTCGTCTATTAAGAATATCATGATGTAGTTATTTCTTAGTTTTCGATGATCCGGATATTCGAACAATCTCGAACACTCGAAGAGAGAGGGAGAGATAGCTAGGACAGGTCGAACGATAACGAGGATAACAGGATTCGATAACCCGCTTCTATCGGCACGGACAACGCTATCCGAAGCTGGTGCTCAATCTCCGTTCTCGATCCTGGTTAACCGAATGGCTTCGTAGAGTAACGTAGTCCTGGATCGTCTGTACCAATTAACACCGACCCGTGCTCACGAGCACATCTAACGGGCTACGAGCGCTACCGATAGACTCATCCTGGCATAAAATACGAACCAATGTCATTAATCTCAATAGAGGCTGAGGCTGGCAATTAACGCGAGCCCAATGGCGGTACACTCGCGATCGAAAGTGAGTATCTGTAGTCGACAGACTGATTCGTAGACGTAAGTAAACGGAACCGTTTCGAAACTGAGCTTTTCTTTGACTTTTCGGAGAAAATTTTCGCTCGATGCAAATATATTGCAACCTTTCGAATTTCCGACGACAGAAATTTCCAAAATGTTTCTATCGAGCGATCGATGTGGTTAGAGTTTGTCGAAGATTTTCGTGAATTCGTGTATCTCGGGTTGGCCGTTGGAAAATAACGGGATTCGCGCCGCGATGACTTTGTAACTCGTCAAAGTGTGGGTGGTGTTCGTCGGTACTTGCAAGGGCAAAGTTAGTAGCGCGACCCTCGTCCCTGCGTCGATGGACAATGTAATCGTTACGAAGCGCCTCCGTCAAACGATGATTAAATCTAATCCGACGATTCGAGCGAAACCAAGGGTTAGGTTAGGTTAGGTTAGGTTAGGTTAGGTTTGGTTAGAACGATCGTCGACGAAACGCTCGTACGAAATTTCCAGTCTCCAGTCGTTTGGAATCCGTTACGAATTGGTTTATACGGTGTTCGTAACGCGAACAATATTTTATTTCACCGGTACAGACAGACGTTCTTTCGAACGAGCCAAAGAACGCGATTGCGCTCCATGTTGAGCTCGTTTCCGCGATACTCGAGGCATCGGAAGAATTAGTTCGTCGGTAAACCGGCTCTCGTCGCGAACGTCGCGAGGAGCCCTAACGAACGAGACAATAGTCGAGCAACGACGCGGAGCCGGGGAAAAATATGTTTCGTACCGTTGGACGAAAGACAGATTCAGGTAATTCGTAGGATAAACGGGCAGCCGGTGGTCGTGAGGGTGCTCGCGAGACAATGCGAAAGTTTCACGAGCGACGAAACGCGTCGCGTCGTCAAGTTTCCGCTGCCTGTGGTCGAGAACAGGCTGCCCTGTTACGGAAAAAAAGCAACTGCCACAGACAGAATCGAAACTTGAGCACGAGTCGTCGGTCCATTGTCAGAACGCACAATCGTCGGAACGAAAACGCGAATAAAGTGTACGTCGCGGGAATAATGAACAGGGGAAAAAAAGAAACGTCATGGGGCAGTCCGTGGTAGTGTGTACCCTTTCTACCGGTTTCTGCCGTTCACGAGGATAAAGTAACTCGAAACAGGGATTCTTTACGTTGTTCTTTACGAAATTAGTATTTTTTCTCTTCCCTTATATGTATATTGTTACGGGATAGACGGGAATATTTGCTCCGGTACTTGAACCGATTTTTCTCGGTCGTTATCGAACACGTTCTTAGGGTTCGTACGTAACGACTTCGTACATGATTTCGATATTTGCCTCGCGGGACGTCTTCGACGAAAAAGAAAAGTCTGTTCTCGAAGAGAAGCGGAGAGGGAGCCCATTAGCCTCGATCCGTCGAAAGTTGGCACGCAAACTAGAGAAGCAAGATCGACGCGAAAAGGAAACGTCCGTCCTACAGCCTCTCGAGTATCCGAGCCCCAACTACGCAACCCTTAACGCGGTGGCTCGTCGTGGGAATATTAGCCAGCTATGCCAGCTCGTTACGAAACTTGGAACCGGTGAATACTCCGACGGACTCGTCCTAATGGTTAATCGAAGGAAACGAGAACACGAAGGGGAGGAGAACGAGACGGATGTTCTTTTATCGTACATCCGCCTAGCGACTTAGTCCGAAATAATTTCGAGATAGTTTTTCGCGATCGTCGAAGCGGTAGCGATTCTACGCGGTATTTCATTAAGCTTGACGCGTGTCAGAATCGAACGGCGCACGTGGTAGATGGTATCAGACGCGATCCATATTCGTTAAATCCATCCAAGCAAGGAAGGGAGTCTGATTAATTTCGCAACGAGGAGAGATCCGACCGCTGGAATACTGCAAGATAAATGAGATCGTTCCGAGACAATCGAACCGATTGCAGGACACGCAACAGCCTTCGCTCGTAAGTCCGCCTAAATTCCTATCGATACACGGGAACGGCTGTCACGGGGAAACGACGCGATACGGATTCCATAAATCGCGAGCTGTCCGGTCCAAGGAACACGTCTAAATTCGGTCACGAATTATCGCGTTTCGCGTTTCGCGTTTCGAGAAAATCCTATACTCTATGGCGGAGAACGCTAGTCAACTTATCCGTCGACTCGTACTACTGAAACTCCCCTTGAAACGTTTCGCCGCTTGCGGAGAAAGTCGAACGATCGTTCCCCGACCGGTAGACAACGTGCTCGAACATTAAACGTCGCTATAAAAATCCATTTTACAAGCCATCCAATTTTACACCCTCCATCCATCCATCGTTCGTTCGTTCGTTCCGTAAAACGAACGAAGAAGAAATTCGTCGACCGCGCATTCCCGTCACGTTCCAGAAGGACAACTCCGTACGCGAAATTGCCGACGAATTCCCATTAACCGTGGTCCCCTTGTCTCCCGTAGCCGATCTAGAGGTCGATCCGTCCAGCGATCTGGCTGGCTCGCGAACGTAATTCCATGGGGTTGCGCAGAATGCGCCCTGTGTACGTCGTGTCAGTTGCTCGCAGACGGAGTTACGGATCGCCGTTCGTCCGATGAATACGTATGGCATGATTCCGTAGCTATGTCCGGTGGTTTCGCTCAACCATTGTCCCTGGCAAATTACCCTGACGAACGCGAAAGCCTCGTTTCGGAGATTCGACCGATCAACGAATAACGTTTGCTCGTAGCGCGGGAGGGTAAACGTTATCTCGGACCAAAGGAGCAATAAAAAATGATAATGGGCATGGAAGATTACTAAATGAGTCGCGTGGCTGTGGAACAATGAAAAAGTTTCGCGGAACGAGAACAATCGTTTATTTTCGACACACGGATACCGTACGGGGGATCGAAAAACTGATTTTTTTTGCTTTTGCAAGATAATATTGATAATCTTGATCGTTCGCGAACGCGATATCTACATCCTGAAAGCCGAACGAGTCTCCGGCCCTAGCCCGTAGTCGATAATTACACACCAGGGGATGAAACGGGCGGTCCAAGGGGATCAGGTTAATATTCATAGAAGTCAGATCCCATGCTGGAAGTTTGGCTCGTAAAACTACCGTTAACGCGAAACCGAAACTTGTATTCCCACTTGGCCATCCTGGGTTATGGTACCCGGTTACCTTCTGCCAACGAACATCGAACCAATGTTAGAATCTGCCATGCAAGTGAATACGACAAGCTAGTCGACTTTCGGGACGCGTCTGCCGAAATCCGATAAAGCGGTAGATGTTTTCGTTTCGATGTTAAAAATCACCTTGACGGGATACTCGTGGAACGTTCAAAGAAGAAAAACGTCCGCCATTTCGGCATTCGTATCTCGTAAGAGGGGCACGTAGTTCATTTCATACTTCAAGTAGCTCACGAGGCTGTGAAACTTATGGCAACTACGACATCCTCGGCGAGGCAGAGATATAAGCCGATGGAAAAGCTTCGAGGGGCGAAGCGAGACGGAAAAGGCGGGGTCAAAGAGGAAGAAGAGAAAGAAGAGAAAGAGGAGAAAGCCAGTCCTCCAACGGACTGTCTGCGAATTATTAAACATAACGGTGAAATATCGCGGTGGTCGATACTTTGGGCGGGGTACAACGTGAGCTGTTTTCTCAACCGTTGAATATCGTGCTTTGTACTTTCAACCAGAGAGTGCATCGATGCATTCGACGATTATTTGTCTAGGGGCTGTTTGATCGATGCGGACGACGCGTTGCGTGCCACGAAACCGAGTTTTTCGGCTCTCGCGATATGTTTAGCGACTTTTCAACATTTCGAATTGGAAGTCTCCGTTAACGAGGAACGGTGTTACCTAAACGTCAAGATTCGGCAGAGAGAGAGAGAGAGAGAGAGAGAGAGAGGGAGGCAATTTCCAGCAAGACTGGTAGGAACGATAGAAAATTCCCTAAGGCCCGAGTTAGGAGACGAAAAGCGTAATTTCCGCGGTAGACGAGTGCAGTTACGATTATGGGAGTCGTGCTCCCCTCGACGGCGCTCGACATATTAGCGACTCCTGAGATGCCTATTAACCAACCTCTTACAAGATAGACCATAACATTAGTTGACGCGACGATTGCCGACCTCTGACTTCTCGTTCCTTCCCTTTCTCTGCGTCGGAGAGGAGAGACTGTTCTTGAGCCACGATAACTGTCGCGTTTACTCGTTTAGATAGTGGCTGGATCTTACCGTGGATGAATTGCATCGCGTATCTCGCCGTTTAATTGTTATTAATCGCGCCTCGTTCTCGGTTCTATTCTCGTGCAGTTGCCGATTGGCTAATTCTGGAAACGCTCGGATCGAGAACTTTGACTGGTGAAGCGAAGTTCATGCTCGTCGGTGCGCGTTGCGCAAAGGTTATCGTGCTAACCGTACCGATTTAAACCCTCGCCTGACGAGAAGAAAACGATACTAATTGGCATAATACTCGCACATATACTCGCACATAATTTACTTTATTATTTGTCGCGATCGCTCGAGGAATCCTGAGACGTTGGCACGCCAGGGGCATTATTAGTATTCGAATGATTATTAATAGACGAATCGTCGATTCAATTTCGAAACGGAATAAACTGACGTACGAATACGTTCCTCCAATTATTAGAGTTTCTCGAGCCGGTATTATTCGGCGGTTACTGTACTCGGGACGGAGGGCTGGAGTGTCCCAGAGGGTCGAGCGTGTTACGTGGCTCGTATCGAAAGCCCATAAAAATTAATGTTCCAGGATACCGCGTCTCGAACTACACGGCTGCAATCCGATTAGGATCCACGATGTCCAGGGATCCAGATCAGCACGAGGGTTTACGCGAGTATTATCCACTCCCGTATCCTCTCTGTGTGTCGGCCTCGTTACGAGGATTGGCCAAAATCCAACCACGCTAATAGCATTTAATTGACCCTCGTCCACGCGTCGATGAATCGTGCACTACTTCAAGAAATCGACGATTCAAGTTGGGAGTGTAGCGAATATTCGAGTACGCGTACAAATCCGTTATTTCGAATAATCGAACAAATAGGATACGCGTACGATTCTTTTCTCCCACTATCGTCGAGTATCTCGAAGAAACGAGACCGCTCGGCAAAGACAATTTTCAGTCCAACTGGTCGAACGATACTCTCGGTAAAATAAGTGATCGTGAGAGGTTGATCGCGTAGAAAGGGTTCCGATCTTCCAGATATTAGAGTGTTTATCCGGGCTTTTCGAATCCACTCGACGCATTGTCTGTTTGTTCGAGAGCACGCCACGACTCCCGCAGGACCGGCTAACAATATTAGCTCTGGATCTGTCTTCGGGGCTGAATCTTCCGTGTGGCCGAAAGGGAAGGGTATACCCTATTAATATTGCGGCTGTATCACAGTTTCACCAGACTCCGTATCGTTAAGGGAGATATACGCGGAGATAAGCAAACAGCCAGTTGCCAGGACTCGCAAGGGGTCGCAACGCCGTGCCGTTACCATAGTCCTTTGTGCTCTCGAACTTTATTAGCGACGCGCGGCATCTAATGGGAAACGATGATTTTCCTTCCTTTTTCGCGAACGAGACGTCAGATTACGCGGGAAACGAGCATAATGGATTTTCCTAACGTTTTCGCTGCCGCAACAGCGGCGCCGTCCGTCCAATATAATATTCGACCGTTACGAATCGTTTGAACGACGAACATGCCAGGGAATATAGAATCGTTGGTTCGATAATAAAAATGCTCGAAGGTTTCCTTCAAACTTTCTTTGAAGTTCGAAAGAGGAGGTGACAAGCAACGCGTTAAAGAAAGAGAAATCTGTTGGTCAGTGGTAGAACTCTCTTAAAGGGAATATAGTCTTCTCCTTATGAACAGTTAAGAAAGAACATTTGTTGGCGCGTAAAGCGAGCCAAGGGTAAGGGGATGAATAATGTAAAGTAAAATATGTAACATCGCCTTAGGGTGAGCGGAAGAATATCACGGCTGTTTTGAAATATGTGAAACCACGTTAGGGCGAGTGGTCGTGGTCAAAGGGACCAAGTTAAGACGATCGATGGGGATTCGTACCCTAATGTTTTTTTCTTTCCTGGTCTTTTTTCCTAGAAAAAAGACCGCGCCACCCTTTTGTCCCTGAAAGAGAAAGCGAGAACTCGCGACGTGAATAGCGTTGAATTCAAAGGGTTCCTTATGCTCCTCTTTTGATAAAAGTTGCATGAGATCGATGGATGCACGACGGCAGGATAGAATTTCAAATTGTACGATTATGCAGTCGCGATAAAGGCGTCGTCGTAACTGCTGTTGGAAAGCGAGCAAAATATTGGCGGGGGTAGCGTGCGGTAAATCGCTCCGGCAAAAATCGGCTATTCTCCTGTCAATTTAGACTAATTTCAATTTTCGGCTGTTCGTCGATAAAGCAACTTTCTATGTTCGCACATGTTCGCGATCGAATCGTTGAACCTTTCATTTCGAAAAAAATTCCCAAAGTAAGTTGTCCCTACCGAAAATTTGATCGAAAATTCGACGAGCCCTTCGGCCAGTGTCCAAATCGAGGATTCGAGATCGATTATCATTCTCAGGATGCTCGTTCGCGTTGATTAATGGACAGAGCGAGACCTCTCTCTCTCTCTCTCTCTCTCTCTCTCTCTGAACCTTTCGAAGGAAATTCTAGCGCAGGCGAGGGCAGAAAGCGTAGTTTCGAAAGCCGAAAACGGAAGTCCTGAAAGCTGTCGTAGCGCGAGCAGACAGTCCCGTGCCACGTTGCCACGAAGACATTGAATTAATCGTCATTAGGCGTCCCGTGTCAGCTCACGGCCGACTGCGATGTCAGACATAGAGAACGGGAGCTGCTGTCACCCTCTCTTATCATTAATAACGGTTCCTACCCTCGCGAGAGATGACTCGTCTAAACGCGATTCGACTCTATCGACTTTTAAACACTCTTAATCCGTCGTCGCGCCGTTTGATTTTCATTTGCTCTTTCCGCAAAGTCGCGGCCAGAACAGTTCTGACGGTCCAACCGAATCGAGAACGTGATTGATTACGATCGAAAATATTTCTTTCTACCGCTGTGGTACTTTTGTCCTTTTAGTTTCGCTTTTCATGCTTATTCGGCGCGAACTGAACGTATTCCTACCATCGATGAATGCATTTTCACTGTATAAATTATTAATTGCACTTTGTTACTTTTTTCTTCGTAAAGACAATTTGTACCGACGTACATACGAGAACGAGATCAACAGAGACGACTCGTTTACATAACGACAAAACAGAGTGTCTGCTATCTCCCTAGAGAACGAAATATAATTATATAAACAGTGACGCCAGTCTGCTTCGTAATAATGACAGCAACGGCAAGACCTTTCTCCCCCTGGAAACGAGCCGTGCAAGGGCTGCTTCATTAAATACTTGGCCCCCAAGAAGAGAGAGCAGTATCTTCCTCCAAAATTGGCACGGAGGAAAGCCTACGATAGTAATAATAATTACGCGATATTAATAATCGTCGGAGTTATGCCCATAACTTTGTCCGTGCACGGTTTAAACGCGTTGCGCGAACAAACCTTTCTCGGTTAGGCCCGGTAAGCGCCGTAACGAAACATGTATGTTCCCCTTGAAAATACAAGCTTTTCTTCGCAAGCGAAAGACTTCTATTTTCGAGTATAAAGAGGACTATTACCTACAAGAAGCTACGTATTGAAAATAAATTCGAAGTTAGACATCTTGAGATTAGACATTCTGAAAAAGGAGCGCGCTTCTATGTCTATGCTTGTCGTGGGGAAGTTATTCCACGATAAAGTCAGCGAAAGGTTCCGGTAATCCCGCACGAACCTCGCGTCGGAAACAAAGAACCGTTCCGAATATCAATGGCCAACAACATGGATTTCAACGAGTCCATTTCAGAGACGAATCGTGAGCCCCGCCTCATTCGTCATTCTCCTTTTCCTGACCGAGCTCGGAGAAAGCGGGAGCTCTATGCTTTATGGGACGCGATAAAAGTTGGCTAGGGAAATTCGAGGAAAAGAAGAACCTCTTAAGCGTTCTTGTATTTCTACTCGATTATTTCTTACGAAAGTTTAGCTATCGTTCGCCTAGAATACCTATCGGTGCTCATTGACTGAATTTAAATTAATTTGTGCCAAAATATGAAATTTGTTCATTCGAAAAGCTGATTTTTCTCGGTTGATCCGGCTGTCGCCGACTTGGAACAGTTTTAGACCAGTCCTAAAAGGTTTCTCGACGTTACCTCGAAATGGTAGAGAACGTGCCGCGAGGGATTCGGTTTCCTTCGGTCCGCGAAGGAAATTTCGCGATGACAAGGGCTCTTTACGAGCGGCTGCGCGAACAGAGACGTCGCGTCGGTCGTTCGTCGATGGAAAACGGTCGAGCAGCCGCACGAATGGAACGATATCGCGTGCAAAGCAATCGACATAAAAATTTGTGACTCGGGGAGAAACCGAGAGGGAACGTCGTTCTCGAGACGTTTCGATTCACCGTGAAACGCGTAACGAAACTTTCGAAAACTTTAACGAGCTGCAATGATCCTGACGGGTTCGACGAGCTCTACACCGTTTCAGTGGCTAATCGAACTAGAACCGAACTGTGACGCTTGTCTCGCACGAGATCTTCGAGAGGATCGAACCGTTACACCTACCGCTTGACAAGCTAAGAGGACGCGACAATGTAATATAGTATAGGGAAAGTTTAAAGTACGTTCGTAAACACCGTGAAATTCGTGAATTTGTACTCGGTAGAGCATAACAAGGGGGGTAACCATGAAAAGAAAAGAGGAAACATCTTTAGTTAAGAAACGTTGTTGATGGGAAAGGACGGATCGTGAAACGAGATCGTCTATCCGAAACGTTCGTCGTAAGTATTTACGTGTTTCGCCGCGAATGGCTGGGTTGGAGGATCGTAAAAATCCGCGGCGAAACGACGCGACGGGCAGGAAAGATCGAGAAGAAAATAAAATGTTGCGAAATTTATAAGGGTGAATCCATCCTCGCGGAAATAACGACGCCTTGGGGAACGAGCGATACGCGGGAGAATTCCTCGATGATCGTTCGAATCGTGTCGCGTGGAAAACGGTTGTATTTCTTAATGTTCAAGGCCACCACCCACCCGGTAATTGACAGCCCGAACCTAACATAATCGGATAATTAAAAGGTCCTCGAGCAACATAACCATCTTATAATTATCGCGTGCAATGATTAAATATATAATAGAAGAGAGAAATAAGCGCTAAACCAAGATGATACCGTACCCGTTCTACACAGTGAAAAATCACTGTTCTTAAACACGAAATAGCAAATAAAATAGCCGTCGTAAAGATCACGCGACACGAACTCCCATAAGATGATTGGCCTTACTCCATAGCTCGTCCGTGCCCATACGTTTATTATCCTGTCTGAATACGTTATCGGGCATAATCCCGCTATAACGGCCGGGTTAGGTCGAAAAAGTGACACGTACAGCTCGATGCATAGGGAAGGGTGGCGTGGAAGGGAGCGAAAGAAAGGGGAATGGGGCGTCGTAGGACGGGGCTAAAGGGATTGTAAGTCGCATTTACATGTTTCGATAGGTAGCGACCGATCGTAAAAGCAACGACACTCGACGCGACGGACCAGGAAGAAAGATCAAATAGACGAGTATCGAAGGCGAAAGAAGGGGACACGGTCAGCCAGAAGGCCGGCTGTGTCTTTGATGCGAGAGCGAGGAAAAGAACGAGGGCTGGGTCCGTGTCTATCCAAACCCACGTCGATGTTCAATCGAATTTTCGGTTTGCCGGTACAAAAGAGACGTCCCAGCGGGACCAGTTTCGTCGATGGACCAGCTTTTTTTAATCAATTTCGAGCACGTGGCATTCGCTACGGTTCCGGCGAGTTTCTCTTTTCCGAGGGACCCGTCGTCGATCGTACCACCTCTTAATTCCCTTTTCTCGACGCTCCGACTGCTCTTAATTCGACCTTTTCACCAAACGGACGCTTCTTTGCATCCGACTGTCGTTCGACGCTTTCGTCATTAAATCCGAGATAAAGCGGCTAATAAGAAGGAAGAATAGAGGAAAGGACCAACCGGAAAAACGTATTCAGGTATACGTCGATGCATCGAATCCGAAGAAGAAGCGATAAAAGACCAAGTGGATTGCTTGGACAAACTAGAATTACCAGTTGCGCGATGAGTCACGTTTCACCGAAGGTTAACCAAGGCGAGAGTCGAGACGGTGAAACGATGAAATTCGAACCGCTTTGAAGATGTTTCCGAGCGTGTTAGGGTCGGTACGAAACGCCGAAACGCCGCCATCCCTGTACCAAATCTAATTTCGACCTCTACTCTCTATGTTTCCCCCTCTGCACTCTAAAGCCACTTTCCACGAGAAACTCTCCCTTTCGCCGTCGAAAGTTCGCGCTTCATCGACGGCAAGTTTTCGATTTAAATCGTTCGCCGAGAAACGTCGTTCTCGATAGACAACGTTGATATCAAGATCGAACACTTAACACGTATCCTGTTAAATTACTTCGTTCGCAAGAATTTCAAGCAACCTATTCTAGTTGCACGTATCGGAACCACGAACGAGCTCCCTCTTCGACGACATCATCCACTCCAGTCTCTCAAAATAAACACGGTTCCGCAAACATCCCGAGTCTTGCGAGTCTCGAGAAATTACGAGTCGTTGGATCACCGAATCGTATCGCGATTTACTCGCGGAGACCCACATTTCCAGTAGCTTCGATAAATAATACAAAACTCTCCCCTGCGTCAGGGCGGTTGGCGAATCACGAGCATCTTCTTCGTCTCTGTAATTTCCTTTTCAACGAAAGTAACAAGGAGAACGGCATTGAAAGAAAGTTGCTGCCGGGAGCAGAGTTCGAGAGTCTGAGGGAAAATCGAAGCCGCCATTGTCCGAGTTTCGAGTGGGGTAGCCGCGTGCACCGAGCTCGAACCACTCGAAGCAACCCCCGGGCACGACGGCCACGACGGACGCGTCGCGGCAGTTGGAGTGCTCGATGGAAAACGTCGAGCGCAAACTCGATACACGCGGCTAACGAGAGGGCGAAAACGACGCAACGCCGGTAGAAACGGAGGGGAAGTCGTCGCGAGTGGAATTAAGCGAGAAAGAGAGACAGTTAGGAGAGAGAGACGGACGTTTCTGGGAAATTCTATTTGCCGAGAAGAGCGTTTCAAATTTCTATTCTTCGACGGCGATAAAATAAATATCGTTAATAATCGTAAGAGAAAATTTCTTTGCTATTTTACGATGCCTGCAGTTTTGGAGTATTCGTTTAATTAGAAATATAGGAACTTTCGACGTACACAGATACGTTATGAAATTTCCAATTGCCGTCTCTTAAACTCTATACTATTTCTTGTACGTGATTTTTTCGTTTCGACGTATACGCGAAAAGAAGTTATCGGTCGATCGAGTCTCGTTCGGGCGGAAGATGCACTCGTTAATCCGACGACGCGAACGAGCTAGATTAAAGCGGGCAAACAGGGCTGCGAAATTTAAGATCACCATCAGCGTGGCCTCGAAACTCGTTGCCCCAGCTACTGTCTGTCGCTGTTTACGCGCGATTCCGACCCTTGTCTCGGTGATCGCTAATTGGTTATCGACCCTGGGACGGTTCCTCGTCTTATG